GCGGTATCGATCTGAATGACCGGTTTGCTGACCATTCCGGTGACTGCCTGAGACCATCTGAAAGGAACTGAACCTCGCAGTTGGACGAAACTCAGGAACCGACCTCGCTTGAACGACAACACTGATTTGTCGTAGACGATCTGCTCGGTCTCTACTTCGTTCGCCACGTCGCCTTTGCAGTTTGCTCCGCGACGCAGGAAGCGAGTGCCGGCAAATCGACTGGACCGCCTTGCGATGAGTACCAGCTGTGCCTTCAGACAGTGAAGGTTTAACGAGACGCTCTTGACAAAACCGTGAATCACTGGCAAGATCCACCTCTCGGTAACGTGAGAATCAAATAGCGGTTCGATCAAATGAAGATTCCAAACGAACCGTTCAGCGAAGCGCGACCGCGGCATCACGAAGTTGCTCTGTAGCGTCCTGCTCAGGTCGTACGTATAACAGAAGTAAAAGTTTGTACTCAGGTCGACAGACTGAAAGATTTTCAGGTAGCGTTGCTCTTTGGCATTCCTCGTCTTCGACCGGTCGAGGGGAATATAAAACATAGCCGTATCTTCGATTTTATATATAATTTCGTAGCCAATCTTTGCAACAGGCACCGCCTTGGTGATCAATATTACGTAGTAGCCGGTCGTGAACCGAACGAAGCCTACAACGCCGTAGGCGAACGAAATCTTCTCCACCAGTGTGCAACGAGACTCATCGCCGTCGATCGCCGTCTTTTCGATACTGCTGTTAGATATCATGGTCAGCAGATCAGTCTAAATCAAAAGTACCGTGAAGAAAAATCAAAATCTGACAAGATATTAAGATATAAGTTTGACTGGCTATGAAAAGCAAAGCAAAGAAACAAGCAGGCCAATTGGTAGTTCAGCAATTGCCTCCCATTTTGAGTAATAAGGTGAATAACAGGCAACTAACAATAATAATAAGCCATTGATGTAATTAACGAGCATTCTATGAACATGTACGCTTCATTCTTCAGTTACCGTCTCCCTATAATGGTTACCAACCATACCTGAAATTTTTGCTAACGAATTTAAATTAAAATGTGAGGCAACGCGTAAATCGCAGTGTAAATGGACTATGACCGTTCGTTTCCTCTGGTCAATGCTGGCAATTTTAGAAACCTCGACATAAAACGCAGGAAAACTCTGAATACAGTTGTCCTTTTAGGCACTACGTAGTTTTATCCTCCTAGGTAAAGGCATTTACCGTTGTGGATTCTTAGATAACTCGACAGTTTACATCAGAAGTTTTATACATCGTTTGCGTTCATTATTCGGATCTAAGTTATAAATTTAACTGAGAATTTTCCCAGCACATTCGTGATGGTGTCGAATGTTCATCTGGCTTGAATGTGGAGGGATCATCTCGTAATACATTGGCTGGCATTCATTAATTTATGACTGACACAATCCCATACATCGGGTATTTTTTTACGACAAGACGACCAGAAAGAAACCGCTGATTTCTGGACGCCGATTGGAAATCTGGTTCATATGATCAACAAGGAACCATATGGGCCTTGAATCGGATTGGCTGCTGGCAGACTCTTGAAGGAAACAAATTCAGCCTTCAATGTATGTAGCGATAGTGTTTGCAACTTTTTTGTGAGACGTTGATGAACAGAATGAAGTAAGCGCAATTTAGTTAACGACCTGGTCACACACAAACGCAAAATAACGACGTACGATTTTGGTTCTGCCGAACAGCCGATGCAGTTCGTTGCCGACACCCGTCACACCAATCAATTCAGTTTTGATGACATGGCCGGCAACGGCAACGAAATAAGACGATTGCTCGGCAATACTTTACCAATACTGCCATAATGTATGTATATCCTAAACGTGCATAAAAAATATTTAAATACATTTACAGTTTAGATCCGAATTATGTGCAAGAATATTCGTCCAAACTGCTCTTTCTCTAAAGGGTTTCGGTAAGGGAAGCGTAGTCACCGGGACTGCTGTTCTTTAGCGATCTCAGAACTGAACAGTCCTGGGTTCGAGCTTCGCTCAGATCATTCATTTTTCCTCCCTCCAAAATACCACTCTAAAGGAAGGAAATGGGAGGCTAATCACCAGGTTGCAAATATAACCTGAAAAAGCAATGAGCCACTCGTGGCTAATGGCATGGCATGGAAATGTAGATCAGAACCGAGCAATAAGCTCCGTTGGAAAAAGTGTGCTACAAATGGTGCCCAACATGAAACAGTAAGGAAATTAAATTAATATCCAAATGGTTGAGCTTACGTTTCCTTTCTCAAACCATGTAAGAAAGAAATCTTCAGATAATTAATGTATTTCGAAATAACTGAACTGAAATCAGTGTTAAATATTTTTGAGGATCCAAAAAAAGAAACAAAATGCACTATTAAGTTCATTAAAATATCATGGCAATAAAAAAACAAAATATCTGAAGTGCATTAAAAATAAACAAATATAAATTATAAGGAAAATATGTATTCTGATCAAAAATAATTTAAACAGTATAGTGAGAGAAAAAATCGCTTCGAAGCGATATATCATACTAGAAAATCAGACTGTAGAGTTCATTAACCATGGAGCCTTGGAACTTCAGTACG